AATAAATATAATTTTCATGGCATTTGGTTTGGTTCTTGRATGAAGTAAGTTTGGTTGTAGAAGCTTTGAATTCACCTTTGTGAAATATAGGTCGACAAAACATGACGTGTCAGCTGGATACGAAGTAATGTTTATGATCATCATTAAATGTTGCATATCACAAGAAGAAAGTTGTACCTTTTTATATTTTTACATTGTTACATACATTATTGCTATTGTCATAATAATAATTATTTTTAACTTTGGTAAGTAGGAAAGTAAATAGGAGACATTTCGTTTGATATTTGTATCAGTTACAATCAATTTGTCTCATGGTATTAAATGACTATTATCTTCAACCCAGCAGATGTTATCACTCAAAAACAAAAGTATCACTCTCCTCACTACAACAAAACAATAAGATTAGATTGTATTTATGAAAAAGCAATAAGCTGAAAGTTTTAGCATCCAAAAAAAAAAACGTGCCACAAAGTATCTCAAGCAGAAATGGCATGAAACCAGCCAGAGTGTAAAGATTAAATTGTTAATGTAATAATTAATGACATTCCAACTACTGTTTAGTAAGTTGTTGACCTTTTAATAGAATTAGCTTATCGATATAATAGGGGAGATCAKAGATATTGGAATCATACATTGTCAATGAAATGTTTCAAATTTTCTAAAGCCATAAATTATACGCTTTTACAAATGGCTGAACTTGTTGACCCTTTAGGATGATATTATTCATTGACTGATAAACAGTTTGGTTTGTTTGGGGCGGCTATAAACAAACAGCAACCACAGAATTTTGTGCACTTAAAGAGAAATTGTATGGAGTATGGGAAACTTCAGAAATCAATTCATAGACACTTATATCGGAGCTTAARTCCCGCCTACGTTAGATGAATTTAATGGCATTTAAAACAAGTGATCACATATCCTCTAATACTAGACGATAACACCACTTCAGGTGGAAACAAAATAAGAAATTATCAAGTATATTTATTTGAAATAAGTCAAATTGTTTGGATTTTTTTCTGTTGTAGACTGAGTATAGCTAKCAAGGTTGGTTATATATAATTAATTAATCTATATCGTTTCTACACACACATATTACAACTAACCAATTTACCACAGAAGATTTATAAACGTATTATAAATATTTGGGACGTAAAGCAAAGAGCAAACACTCCCTAGCTGTGACGCGGAGAGAGATAGTGAAAGCCTTTCAGGAAAAATATCAAGCGAGAGTTGATATCACCAACACAAAGTTGACAACAGAACGGCAAAACACAGATTTTTCAACGTATTATCTTCGCCGCAGTGGACAGGAATMGTGTCAGCATTTCAAAGGTTTTATTGGTAAAAGAGGCGGTTGTTTAAGCAAGATATTTTCAAAGCAAAGCGTTAAAATTCAAATGTCTAGTATCTTACCCGGCCTGAGAGATGGGCCGATCCATTTTGAACTACAGCGCAAATCATAGGTGGTAGATGCGTGTCTACACCTCCAATAACACTGAATCCAAACCCTCCAAGAGCTCTCCGCTCGAGCTTCACTATTCCATCCATAGTCTTGCACTTTTTAGTATTTTGATTTTCACACTTCAGCCCTTGTCAAGTCATCTCTTCTTCTCCGATCGATTCGAATTTTTGAGCCACGATAATCGTTTCAACCTCGGGTTCCGGTAACACCCGAATAATTTCCGAACATTTCGTTGCCGCTCCGGAAATTGTCGCTTGTTACATTTGCCGATATTGTGAATGATTTTATCTATGAAAATCATTTAGGATCATTTGTAAGAATATTAAAACATGAAGTTTTCCTGTTTTACAATGATAGCACTCGGTGATAACGAGTGAATATATTCCGAGWCTGCCCGACCCGACCCCAGTTGATCATCGTTGCCAGTGCATTCTGGGAATACTTCAAGATGGCGGACTGTTTTCAAACGAACGGTTGTCAAGAACGTCTTTTAGATGTTTTATTTCYTGACCATTTACTCTAACATAGACCAACACAGGGAGCACCTATATGTATATTCTTCACATGATTATTGAACTGAGGAATTTTGGGATAATCACCGACGAATTTGTGGCGTATTTTGTTGTTTTATTGTTTACACTCTTGCAAATTACATGACTGCTTGGGTCTAGACCGTCATATTGACTCAAAACGAATTCGATCTTGTTGCCTGGAAGATAAAACAGCAAGATGACAGCTGGAATGATAAAAGTACCGAGCATAATGCCTCTCAGGCCGCCAGTCTATTCAAAGAAGAACATAATTTCAACGACAACGCCAATTGAACTTCGCACAGAAACGCAAAATACAATTATATATTACACCATTAATGGTATGAAGCCAGAACCGTTTAAACARATAGGAGTCAAATGTACTTATCGGTACAACAAGCCATTTGTACTAGGGCCGGGTAAGAGAGAGGTGAAGGCAATGGCAACYTCCCAAGATGGCACAAGAGAAAGTTCAATAGTTACAAAAGCATTTATAGTTGAAGARAGCGACTCAGSTGATGAATTRCAGATGAGTCAGAGGTCAGACATCAGTCTCAAGAAAAGTTCTAAAATATTTCTAGGAGARTCTCAAACACAGCTGCATGGAAGTCCAAAGAGGGGGGTTTCTCAAGGAGCGTGGAATGACAATATTCAATCTCACAATGCAGCTAATCCATATGCTGAAGGTTCCAATTACAGAAAACCACGTTCCGGACCAAGGTTTATGAACGAGAGGTTTGGATCTAGCAAAGCTACCGTTGYGACCTCTGATTTGCAATCATTCAACGGTTTAAGTGATGAGCACAGACAAACCAGGGCACCTGACAACAAGACACAACTTAATAAGACTCAAAAGGACACAGATTTCCTGAAATGTGTATTTTGTTTTGCGTCCAGACCATCCGATCCCTTTGCAAGATTTTGYGCTGAATGTGGCTCCCMACTCCCTCCTATTCCTCAATCACGCCTACCTCCCCCTGAAGGTGGAAAACTGGTGACATGTGTTTCTTGTCATTCTATGGTCCCAGCCAACACCCCAACATGTATCATTTGTGAAGTTCCCATGCCTCCTCAGTGGCAACCACAGGCAACCCAAAAGCTGCTTTCCAAGGTTGTTTGTGTAACCTGTGGAACTTCAAATCCGCCAGACATGACAGAGTGTGTCACATGTGAGAGTAGGTTACCCAAAGATGCTAAAAAGATCTATACTGATAGCAGTGCTCCCCCTGTTCCCAAAGGAGAGCTTGGTAGTTTCATGACATGTTCCAAGTGCTCAAGAGTTAATAGCAGTGATGCTAGGTACTGTGATTGGTGCGGTGAGAAGCCATCRCCATACCAGACKCCAATTACATGTTCAAAGTGTGAGGCTTCTAATAGCCCATTTTCAAGGTAATTAGAAAAGCTTCTATTAATGATAGCTCTGGTAGRSKSTGTRTRTKTTTYYCCCCMMCCCYYYCC